AAGGACTTAGCAGATATTAACAGTATTCTCTACTACTACAGCAAAGGTGGAAGAGCTTATAGAAACACTTCTCAAATGAATTATGAACAGAAATGTGACAGAAAAACAGCAGTTCCAGAGTACCAAGGATGTGAGTGAGCAAGTATAGATTTCAGGATGAAGCTCCATTACTAAAATTTACAATTCTCAGGCAGACACTTTTGCTGGGAAGAGCTCTGCTAAGCTTAAATGAAACCTTACATGGATGCAAAGAGCAAAATTGCAAGATGAGGCATTTGTATTACCCAGGCTTTTCATGAAAAGATTTTTTGCTGCTCTGAGAATAAGAAGCTATGAGTTTATTTTGTCTAGCTTTCATCTCTCCTTATTGCTGAGGCCCTATATGAGTGTATGCAACAATCAGCACCTGAATGGAGAAATACCACACTATTTCTCACTGCAAATTGGGGCTACTCCATTTTCTGAACACTGCCCTTTTACCATTCTTTTCACACATACTTTTCATCCAAAAAGCTGTTAAAAGGCTTCAGCTCTGTTAATGTAGGCATCCCTTTATCTGACACCAATAATTTTTACCAGGTCACTGGTTTAATGCCTTTAAGCCCTTGATAAATTAATCATCAGTGCAGTCAAGTGATTTTGTCAACCTCATATCAGGATCTGCAGTTTTGAATAACTGGTTCCCATTAGAGGATCTGCAAAGAAAACCCTTCAGCAATTTGGAAAATCTCCTCCTGTCCACAAGAGTTAAGAGGCCTGCAAGGGGCACACTACCATCATCATTAGGCTGTGTCCACGCTTACAGCTTGAGCAAGGAAGGCAGGAAAAGGAAAGACACTAGGGAGACATTTTCACCCCTTAGAAATACAATCGGGATGTACAAACACCTCCCCCAGTCTACCGCTCTGGAACTGATCCAGAATAACATTTAAGCTTGAGAAGGTCCATGATGATGACCTCAGCTGACTACACACAATTGTCACATTAGGCATTAAATGTTTGCTAGATCAAACTAGAGCACCAGTTTCTGGATGAAAAGGCTAAAATTTCTGCTGCAAAAATTTCTCACAAACGTCTAACATGCTATGCCCTTGCCCATCTAATGCCTATTAAAAGAAAAAAAGAGGAGCAACATTATTTAACAAAGCTTCAGCCTCCCTTACAGAAATCAAATCCTAGAAGAATTAGAGGTCTTAATCTTGTTACAAAAGCAGTCCATGCAGGCTTAAAATTGCTAATCAAATAGTGCTTAGATGAAGCAAATTCATATTATTGATGGTTCTCTTGACCCGCAAAGAACTTTTAGAGCAAAGGATAATGCCAATTATTAAAACATTGAGCACTAGGAGTGTTCCTTCCCTTTCAGGATCACTATGGGATTTCGGGAGCCAACCCGAAATGAAGCCTCTAAAACCTACCAGTGTTAGCGACACATAGAACCCACTGATCTGAAAGGGCGTACGTTTGGGTCAGAAATCACAGCGAGGGGCAGTTCTGCAGSCCCTGCCAAGGCGGCATGTCCCCGAGGAGGAGGGGAGCGGGCAGGAAGGCSACTGACCTGGACGCAGGGAGCCAGTCGCCAGCCGGCGCGGCGAGTGCCGCTGCAGGGAAGCTGCCGCATTACTAAAGCACGACAACAGGAGAGATTTTGCCAGAGGCACTGTTACTACAGTAAGGATTTCTGGGAAAGGGAAAATTGAAAGAAACACGAGACGCTATTAGGGAAGAGAATTGTGCACAGGAGATGGGGGGCTGTTGGGGGGGAAATGAGGAAGAATCGTGCAGTTATAGTTTTACATCACAGAGAAGGTGAATGTATTTTTATAATATTCTTCAAAGTCAAGGTATAATATCTTGATTAAGACATCAAAGAATTAAGATATCAGAGAGTTGTACACAAAAGTCTATGTCATGTTATATTGAATAAAAGATGAAGTACTTCATGGAATAGCTACAAATTACTGAAGGTAGAATTGTCTCAAACTTTAGAATTCAAGAACAGGCAAGAGTGATAAAAGAATACTGCAGAGGGAAACCACTTTAAAAGTTGTGTTAACAGTAGTATCTAGAGAATGATATTAAAAGAAAAGTCATTGCCATATGTGAAGGTTAGGATCCACACAAAAATGTTGTATTCAGCTATAACTTTCATAAGAGAGTCTGACAAGAAATATTTTTTTGAGACAGAAAGTAACACCTGAAGCTATACATAATGTGTAAGGCAGTTCAACTGATACATATTCCAAGCCTTTCTTTTTTTCCCCGCCCCTCTCATTTATTGCTAGCTTTGTATTAGTTCAAAAAGGAGGCAGGGCACGGTATTTCTTCCAGTTAAAATGTCTTAGCAAATTTCAGCTTGCCTTGCTGCATTCCTATACCAATAAACTGTCAAAAATCAGATGTTAAAGGCTTTCTCATGTTATATGGGCATGTAAAAAATTCTTCCACACAGCACACTTTTGTTTAATCCTTAAAGAGAAAAGAGGAGRAAAGAAAATAAAGAGAAAAAGAGAGACTGCACAAGTGCAAGAGAGAACGAACTCAGTGATTTGACTTGCCTAAGAGCTGTGGTTCCTATTCTTCACTGCAAGAGCCACCCATCTAGCATTTCGCACGGAGCTAAACAATTCTGAGAAGCAATCCTGCTTTGGAAGGTCGGCATTCTAATTGCTTGCTGGCAATTTCTAGCAATTTGTAACCGTTGTTGCCAGCGAGCGCTAACAATCACTGGGAGTCAGATTCCCGCTAAGCCTTTCAGCGCTTCAGTTTTTGGCAGACGCTTCATGGATAATATTTTGATGCTTCTGTGATCACTGGTGGCTCAGTCAGACCACAGATCACAGGTTACAGTACATGACACCACAGCAGTCTTCACAAGTTACCCTCTTTGAGGCTTTGCAAGGAAGGCAGCTGTCATTACTTCTCTACCTTAGCCACAGATGTTTCAAAAGGAGCATTGGTTTTGTCTTTAGCATTAAAGACAGATCACGTCCAACACATCTACATGCAAATTTATGCACGGAAGATCTGATAATCCATGACTTAAAGGGTGTTCAAAATGAGACACACGCCTCTGATTTCAACTTCTGCATTTGGAAGAAAAGTGTCATTTTAATTTATAGTCTGACAAGCTGGATAACAGCACAGGTTTCTGGGGTTTGTTTTTGTATTTTTCCCCGAAAGATTTGGAAATCAATGAGATAAGGCCTCCAGAAACTAAAGGCCAGTTCACTTACAGGTACAAATCAAAACAGCTCTCCCAAAATACAGAGCACAGCACCGATTAAACCACTAAGTGTCTGCTGCAGGATCTGACAAGTCTGGGTAGAAGATTTATGATGGATGAGAGAGATGGYTTTCCATTAGAACATGAAAAATGTTTAGCATATGAATTTAGCATTCCATATCACATAAAGACACACAYGCCTGCACCTTGTAGCTATATTCTTGTCCTTGTCTGAACTCAAGTTTCAAAGTCCTATCAGCCTCAGTAACCACCCAGCAAGACTASATATTTCTATTTTATGGAAACCCAAAACACACATTCATGATAAAGAGATAATATTTATTCAAACAGACATTAGAAAGTCAGAAGCTTATCTCTACACTGTGAAATTCAATTTTGAAAGTTTAAGACTATTTGATGCAAATGCAGTACTAAGAGAAAACAGTTTAAGTCCTGTATAAGTTTAAAATACATACAATTGTTTCATATACTTTGATATCTTAGCAACTCTGTAGACCTGTAGAAGTTCTCCATAAATAAATCCATTCCTGTTAGAGTCAACAAGAGTTTCAACTGCTCATGAACCAAATAAAGGCCGTGAAATGTAAAATGCCAGAAGGCTTTTTACTTTCTATTTTAAAGTTTGCCWTGTATTTTCCATGCTTCAGCAGGTTATGTGTTTTCACAGAATTTAATAATTGCACTTATAGCAGCAAAATAACTGCAGACTTTAAAACCCCTTGCCAGACAGTGTTTCCAAATTTGTCTGCAYGGGTTGTTAGGGACAACGCTTGCACCACTACCAATTACCTTCTCAAAGGAAAGATGGTCTTCCACTCTTCTTCTATTAATGTATCTGATGACAGAGTGTAGAACTCTAACAAGTCAGTGCATACTCAAAGCAACAGCATTATTTCCCTAAATGAATGTACTTTGCAAAAGAAAAAGTACCTTCTTCTCACTAYTGAGTAAATAACTTCTAATCACCCATGAAATGTGGGCAACTCTTCAGCAAACTTGGTCTCCATGGTTGAGCTTCATTAACATTTGGAAAATCTGATCATCATGTACTTGGTTACCTRGCAGACAGTACAATAGTTAACAACAAGTGACTGGATTCAAAAACTTAACATTTCCTTTTGCTTAATAAGGATGCTATGAGATTGTCACAACAGCTAACTCATGCCCATATCTCGTGCAGCATTCAAGCTGTTCAGAGGCCCTGCTAGTCTGATTGAATGGCAGAGTTCACAGTTCACAAGCTCTGCAGTGCTTGAATCCCTAGAATCCAGATACAAACTGACAAAGYGCATTTCCATGAAAGTATCAAATTAAAACAGAGAAATATCATGCAGAGGGCTCATCCCAAATCCAACATTTCCAGCCTCTTACTTTTTTCCTCCTCCACTCTTCCTCTGACAAATTCTTCCATCTCATCTTTCTCTCGAGATTCATATACCCCACTGCAAACCTCATACATCTCTTACCTGACCTCAGCCCTAGAAAAGGGGATTCCTCCAAYGAACTCTAGCCTCTAGGAGTTCCCATTGGGCTGGGTTTGTGTAGGGAACTGTGGCCTTGACAAAGCAGCTGAAAGTTTTTGACCAGAACTTGAAATGGACATTTTAAGGCAATAAAGTAGTATGCAATTAAACTCTATCACAAGCTTGTCAAGACAAGTGTCAGGCTTCCAATATTTACCGTGTCTTAAAATGAGACACTGAAGATTAGAAATTAACCACTGTTTTAGCTATGGGCATGATGCAGGAGTTACCTTTCCATACAATACATGATGTCAGGTAGAACCAGTCCTCCCCAGATTCACTGGCATGATTCTCAGCCTGAAATAAACAAACAAAAATAAATAAATTTCAATTATTCCAGCAGAGTTTCAGGAGTTTCCAAGAGAACAGGCTGCCATATGTGCTTTGGCCATGCAGAACTCTGGCATTTTTCAACAGAAGCAAAGAGAGTTTTGTTGCGATCACCAATATTCCTTTGGACAAACTTTGTACAAGATAGCCTCAAGGAAAAAAAGAAATCCAAAACTGGAGTCTGTAGAGAATTACTAACAAGGACCTGAACGCAGGATCTGAAGTAYAAGAAGAGTCTAACTTGCAACCCAGGACTCATAATCAAAATAGAAGGACCATAAGTCAATATTAAAGTAATAAAATCATGTCTCTGGTGATCTTAGCAGTCATTYGGGTAGAATATAATCAAGTATCTTATAYTCYCCTTTATTTTACCTGGAGGAGTCATGTGCTTCTCCTCAATGGTAGTCCTAACTTTTTATGTCAGGCAGTTACATTCAAGCTGTGTCTCAGATGGGTATATCAGATATAAAAGTAAAGTAATTTAGTGTAGCCTAACTGGATATAGTCCATGTTTTTATATTAAAAATGTACAGAGGCAAGTTTGAAAACGAAATCCAGACTGGAAACRTCACATGTATACAGAAACTGAGGAATTAGATATACTAACAAATATTCTGACAGGATTGCAAAGCAAAGATAATTACAGTTTTTGCTTGTAACTGAAAATAAGAAGCATCACCTTTTCTCACCCCAGGAAAGTACATTTATTTTGTGACAAAATATATGAAAATCTGAATCTTCTTAAATCACTGAGGATTAAGGSCAAGTTACATACATATTCTGTAATTTTGCCCAAGGAAAACACCGTTCTTCAGTGTGTTTCTTGAGGGTATCYGAGAAGCCTCCTGCCTGCACCACGTGCAGGTAATGAAGCGACCACAGCTAACGCGCCACGAGGCCGCCTGCGATGAGGTTCAGGGCACCGAGTTGGGATTTTTGCTTTTAGCAGGAGCTTTAGACAAAAACTAACAACAATAACTTTTTATTATTTAATTTGAGGAAGGAGAGTCATGTCAGCTAGGGCAGGAGACTATCAACAAGGACTCGGGCAGCCTGTGACCGCAGTCAGGCCGCAGTTCTCTACCGCACCTACAGGACACTGTCACCTACACAAAATTTATATAATATACATCCATGCATACTGAAGATCTTTTTTTAAAAGACTTTCTGAAGGACAGCTCCAAGAGGAGAGCCACAATCACCTCAAACCTGCAAGCTGTTTGTGTCGAGGGCAGAGGCTGGAGGAARGGATGGCTCCCACCACCTCACACCKTGCACAGGGGCAGTGTCTCCCAATGCCACCAACTCTCTTGTACAGGAGCTCCCAAAGGATTTGGACGGGTCACCCCAGCAGCCATGAGTCTCCTCTGGGATGGAGCTCAGCTCTGCACCATCGGCCACAGCTGCACTTTGCTTCACAGGGCAGCAAGGGCCCTTTTGAACCAAGCCTGGCCAGGTACACAGAGCGGGGCTGAGGCCTGGCATGGCACCCAAGGCCAAGGAGGCTCCCTCTCGCTTCTCTCCTTATTCATCTAAGAAAACTGCCAGCACCCTGTCCCAGGGGCAGAGGTGCCAGTACACATCACRGCCTTTCTCCCAGGCCCCATTAACCTTGCTGGCACTCGCTTTGGGCCACCTGGTTTTGCCCTTGTCCACGTCACTACACAGCGTTTCTCACTGCAGCACCCACACACCTGACATTTTGTAGAAGAGCAGCATTAAAGCGAAGCCTCTGCTCCTGGCATTACACAGAGGGGCTGGGGTTGGGGAGAGAGCACCCAGCCTCAGCAAGGTGAGGACTGCACTGCACCAGAGCCGAGCACTGCAGCCGGGAGAGTCGCGGGAGGAAGGCCGAGCTGAGGGGAAGTGCGAGAGCGCGCGTCCACACTGTGTTCTAGCTGCGACAAGACCTGTGATCTGCATCGTTTTGCATAAACATACGCCTAACCAAGAATCTTGTGCAACACGCACTTTTCTTTTTCAGTTAGCGAGTTAAATTCTGAAAAGTGAAAATTGATACTGTAAAATTCACCGATAAYTGCAAAGACAACCTGTTTGCTTATGCAACACCCTACAGTTGTGGGATGCCAGGGGAGAACATCCCCAAGTGCCATACGTTCCTAGCTGCACTGCAGTACAACGTGAGCCCAGCCACAGCATCTGTGTCCCCATCTGCCAATCGCTCCCCAAAGCACAGCGCAGGAGATGGTGAAACAGAGGATTTTGACAAACAGATAATCCCAAGAAGACCGTGATGTTTCTACAACCAGTTTATCAACACCAATAAAATATGCCAGTGTGTACTCTGCCTCCAACTGCGGAGCTGCTGATTCAGCTTTTAGCTGCAAAACTTAAAAATAATGCCTGCTCAGGCTAAATTTGCCAATCTAGACATTTATATTTGCCTGAAACAAACACACAAACAAARTAAGTCTAGTATCCTCCAGTAAACCCTCCCTTGAGATTCCTGCAGGTTTCATTAGGCATATTCATGAAGAGGAGACAGATTAATATGAAAATGGGCAGTTTAGCTGAATAAGCAAAAGCAAGGCAGCATGGAGTTATCTGATTTTCTAGCTCAGTTTTGATACATATTTCAGTAACACTGTCACAATGGGTCTGCTTCTTTCTCCTTTCTTATTAAAAATTCTGTATCCTACAGCATGATTTGTTCTCACTCAGTCTTACGGAGCACCTTATTCAGATTGTGTTTTATTTCACAGTCTAACTTTTCAAGTTGTTCCATACTCAAGGTTCCAGGGCAGCTGAACCACCTACTTATTCATAAGCAAGGCCTCAACATCACTGGTGGAGCATCAGCTGAGCTCAGATAACAGCGTAATACTGTTTGAGAGCTAGATGAGATCTTGACCATCACAAGGWCAGAAAGGGCAATTAGTTTCAAGCACACCAGGATTTCACTTATCTTTGCATTTGCAACCAAACTAATTGGAGGAATTCCAACAATTTAATAAATTGGAAGGTTTGTCCTATTTCCTAATCCAAAGCAAACTCTTATGTTTTACTATACCTACTTAAGCCTCTTTCCCTGTTAACGTTCATCTGAGTTGTAGAGATATTCAGTATTTCTGGGCTCTAAGAAACAGCTGAAGCTTATCCCTTAAAGTTTCCCCATTTCATTGGGAAAGGAAATTATTCTTTTTCCACACAATTTAATAAAACTTTTTAGAGCATTTTACCAAAAGTAAACATCACATACATATCCTCTTATGAGACAATGATTTTAGAAAGGCATGTCATTATTTTAGCTAGAAATGTTTATAGAGCAGATGGTTTTTCAGGTTGTTTTTAAAAGAGAGGAGAATTGAAGTATATTAATTGGGATATTATTCCAAACAGAAGGAATACTAGGAGAAAGTAGATAATGTGAGAAGTAGAGGAGAGAGGGGAGGAAAAAAAAAAGACAAAAGGAGCATATGCCTTTGGGATTTAGTCAGCCTGTTTTCTCTGCAGAGTCCATAACGCAGGCTCACTGGTAGCTGCTTTACACTGATTGAAAGAGCTGAATCTACTTTAACATAAAACAAAATTTGGTTTCGTGTGTATTTTAAGTAATAGATAACTTTAGCTGCTTTGCCAAAATGATCCCACATTTTATTAATAAAGAGAACATCCTTTACTGAAAGAGCCACAGAAAAAGCCACATGACAGAGTGACAGGGGCAGTAAGCACACAAAGCACAGATAACAACAGCCACCCTTGTAGGAGGGAAACAAATTGATTTATTGCTTTGGTAAAGCCTAACAAATGGTTTTATAACACAGGCTTGGTTCCCAAATGATTCTTTAACCACCACATTAGGGCAGATCTGCTTGTTCCCACACCACCACCCCCAAAAAAAGACAAGGGGGGAAGGAAGGGGAGGACACAAACCCCAGGTATTTATCTTTTAAAGATAGTATAAATGTAGACCTCTAAGAGTACAGCAGCTGGTAGATATTGTGCAAGGGAAGCTTCCCTTCGCCTCTTCCTAACAGGAGCCATTTCTGAAGATAATCTAAAATGCAATGTGATGATTAGAAATGACTGACTCCTTGCCATCACACAATTTACTGTTTCTGATTTATTACTTAGGCAATCTCATATATATAATAAGAGTAGACAGAGCCAGTGCAGGATTGACAAAACATCATTTCTTTCCTATTTGCTGAGCTGGCTCTTCTGTAAAAACTCTCCTATAATATATAGCTGAAGCACACTGGCATAAGCTTGTGCTTGTCTCTTCATGTGCTGTGTAGGTACCTGCTATATTTAAAGCAGATTACTGTTCACAGAAAAAAAAATAATGAATTTGGATCCAATGGAAATGCACTGAGATGCACCACACACTTTTTGTAGAGATTAATGTAGGCCTTAGGAATAAGATGCACCTCAGTTCTAGGGTTATGTTTGAGCAAAGTCCCTCCCTCCTGAAGTAACCAAAAGGGGCACACAGCCCATGTGAGACAGCCTTGTCCCCCAGGTATCTCCCCATCTTACACCTCAGCTGAAGGCCAGACACCATCGCTAAACTCTTGTCACAACCATTTAGCCAGAAGCCAACACTAAGGAAGGGAGGCAGTCACAAATGCGTGCACTGCCTCCGGCACAAACCTCGGACAGGTCGGGGAGAGGCCCAGGAGAGCCCGAGGCCACCATGCAGCTGGTGCTTTGTGCCAGCTAATAACACCTCAGGAGACACCATCCCCAAACATTAAATATGCAGGGGCCACATCTGGCGATGTCAAAAGGAAAAATATCACTCTCAATCTCCACCATACCTGATTTATTACTCTTATCCAGCTGAAGAGAAGCAGAATCAGGACCAGACAGGAGGCAGCAGCCACTAACAGGGTCGCTCCCCCATCAGGCTGAATTTAAACCTCCTGGCCCAAGATGCTTTCAGCACAAATCAGCTCCACAGCTGCCCTGGCCACACAGGCATTAACATCCAGCACAGCTGATCCCACWGGGTGATTTGTCCCCCTCTTCTCCCTTCACAATCTGCAGGTGAAAAAACCTGCCCCGTGAATGGCAATTGTGTTTGAAATAATCATTATTTCACAGGTATGAATTCAGGCACCCGTAGCATCATTTTATCACTTGGGTTTAACTCGGAACGCATCTCAAGCTGCCCAGTTGGGCAGTCCGAAAAGCTACTAAGCCAGTTTTGGATCAAAAGTCATTTTCTCAGCAAGATGCATTTTAAGTGAATGCACTAAATGGGATTAAAGAGAATAAAACATAGCCAAATATAGTTAGCAGGGGTTCTGTACCTTTTAAAGACGTTCAATTTCTGTAAGTTCCCAGGGACTCCAAACCACTGTGTTGGTCACTGTTGACAGAACAGAAAATGAAGTTCCTTTAGTCCGGTGTATCCTGTGACATATGGCAGGTTTTACTWCTGTCAAGTTGAAGAAGAGGGAAGCTGCAAATTCACCAGAAGGTGGAAATTATTAGCATGAAATAATCTGTAAATAGCAACAACAGAGGSTCTTTCCTGTGGACCATTTAAAATCGGACTAGTTAGTATATAGTATTCTACTATTGACAGAGGAATAATACAGAAGAGGAAAAAAGTCTTGATCATCATTACCATGATTGAATATTTATTCTCTTTCTATTACTTGTTTTGCTTCAGCTAAAGTACAGTGACAAGGATATCATTTTATGATTCTGCAAAGTGAACTTCTACCCAATAAGGATCAATAAAAAAAAAAAAAAAAAAAAAAAGAAAGGATTGTTCAGGTCACACAGCGATTACAAACAGTTTCACCTGGTGTCACCTGCAGTGGCATAGACTACTTTGGGCCAGACTATCCTTAGTTACATCTGTGCAAATCTAATAAATCTAAATCTAATCTGTGAAAGCTAATAGATTTGGACAAGTTATTCAAAGTTATCTTTTAAGTAAAAAAAATAGGGGGTCAAGCAGTTTCGAGGAGGGCGTACTTTAGCCCATGGTGTTCTTATTAACAGTAATAGAGTTAAAACGGGAGGTATTCGGCCTGACTTTCAGATATTAGGTGAAATTCATAGGACTAACAGGGAACAGGCAACTGTTTTTATACAGGAACTTTTTTATATAAACAGACCACATGATAAAATTCACAAAACAAATGAGAACCCTCTTGTTAACATCTTCTTTTACAGATACAGTATAAACAGATTTAATTGTAGCTTAGGAGTAAAAAGCATGTAAAAATATTCTACGATGACACAGTCATTTTAAAACCAAGCTGACATAGCATACTCATCCTTTTATAGAGACTATTTTTATTCAGATTAGGGACATTAAAAGCCTGAAACCTGTTCATACCACAAAAGTAAAAATTACACTTATCCACATAAAAAGGCAAAAGAGTAAATAAGTTAAAACAGTTAAAATAGTAACTAATCTTGAAGACAGCGCCACAGAGTTCAAAGCAAAACAGAGAGGCAAATATGGATTGTGTTTTTCTTGGAGGAACAGCTCGTACACTGCTTGCAAACTGCAGCCATGCCACAGAAATGACTGTAGCCATACCACATTCCTGAGGGAGTACTCTTACTAAGGAGAAACACTACACTTAACTGAGGACAAAGGGATATAAGGCTAATCAGAAAGCCATTGGCTTATATTAAGTTGGTGCTGGAGATCTAATGTTAAGAAACCCATRCAACCCACCAACACCTGTGGATGAACTGAGTAGCATTAGTGTTTCCATGAATAGAATAGAATTTCAGTAAGAGTAGTAAAAAACTTTACTCTTTACATCAAGGTGCAAGAGCTACGCTGGTATCTTTTGAGAAAGGAAAAAGAAATCTTAACTTTCTTCATATTTTTCCTCTTTTGCCTTTACTTTCGTTATACTGGTGAGCAAACTGCTGTACCCCAACCACTCATATCTGCCACTGCCAGTTGACTCCAGGGATGAGCTCCAACAGAGAGGTGGCAGAGAGCACCTGGAGAGGGTGTCCTCTGGGATATGCAAAGATGCTCTAAGCCACAGTCTCTGCCTACCAACTTCACACAGTGCTTGGACAGCACAGTGACTACCGAGCAAGTTTTTCAGTCTTGTTGTGGCTTGTGGAGTAGCATTTTTTCCATTTGGTGTTTGGAAGTGAGCCCAGAAACAGCACACATGTGAACTGCCTAAGGAGATGAACAGCTCTTTGCTAATGTGCCCCTGCAGAAAGGCAGGATCTCTGTCCTGTCTCGTATACATGAACTGATGGTACCTCTTACAGTAAGCAAACTCAAAGCTTTCTATAAGAGCCATTCTTAATTGCTTGTAACTTTGCCAGCATTGACCCCTCCCAGAACTTTCCTATGCTGGATGCCTGCCTCAGGCTGAAAGATTTGGGTATTGGCTTAAACAGATGAGCCAATTTCAAGAATTATGTCTGTAAGAAAATCATGTTTTACCATCCAAGACAGAAAAAAAAAACATAAAAATCAGTGAGACTTTCATTTAAAATTTTTAACACTTTCAGGCTACCAAGTAGAAAATTGAAATTTGACAGACTGAAGGTATCAGACAGTGTCAAAATCTCACAAATTTGGCTAGGCTACAACTTTCCAAAACTCAGTTCCCTTGTAAACAGTAGAAGCTTTTAATATGGCCTGACAGTAARACGTTTTAAATTTGAAGTTTCTTGCCTTAAGAAGTTCTTCTATAATTACACAATTGCCTTGAGTAATTTAACATCATGTATGAGAAACTGCTCTTTTTTTTCCACAGCTTGGCACTGAGGAATGAGTTGTGTAATTCAGAAGAATTGGGAAGGACTGGGAAAAATGGTAGATTAGAAAGACTTCACAGAGTTAATACTCTAAAAATACCTGATGGTGTAAAGACTGAAGAAAACATAAAATAGAAGATTGGAATAGAATT